GAGCCAGGTTCAGAATGTTTTAAATTAGTGCTACTTCCGGCTGGCTTCCCGACAAGCATTCATTGGAAGAGGATTGCAACAAGTTTGGGGAAAGCTTGGGCATTTTGGATTTCCATCTATATATACTACGTCCTAGTGACAAAGGAGTTATCGGACATGTGCCAAAATCAACAATTCCTTATTCATCAGGAAACGACTGCGCTGGCAGCTGGGTCACAACTCCTTTCTCATCAGCCCTAGGATAGGGAAAATAGCTGAAATCAGAGCATCTTCGATCATGCTCGAGTATGTTCCTTTTTGACTTTGAAAGCACCCATGCAGAGGCATGAGTTAGGAGTTGTGGGTGGTGCGTGGGTGTTGGGTTGGCAGCCAAAAAGGTTGGCAACCAAGTATATATTCCGGCTCTAACTCGCGCGTCCCACGTGCAGGACTTGGTCCGTTGGACGTCTGTTTGATACTCCTTGCCCATGTTTTTTGGGTACAAATCCAACCTGGGCCTTACCAAAAAGCATCGTTCAAGGCATGTGCATACCAAAAAAGCATCACAGAAAGCACTTCGCTGGTCTTGTGCTCGCTCCCTCGCACAGGGCAAGGGCGACAGCGGCAAGCCCTTGGCCTTCAAAGGCAGGCGGGTCGGGTTGCTGCACCATCACAGGTGGACAAACCATGAAAAAGAATCTACCCACATCTACCCCGGAACGCCTCACCACTTCGCCGTTCTGTTGAGTTGGAACCTCGGAGTTCTGAGGCAGCACATTCCACCGGATCATCCCGGGGTTTATGTGCCAAGGAGGTGCCTGGGACCCCAGCGAAGCGGGCGCGATTTTTAGCGGTTTTAAGACTCGGATGTGATGCGGTGCGAGAAGCAAAAGGACCGGTCCGGAGCCCAGGTTTTGGCGCCAAAGGACCCGAGTCATTTCGGACCTCCCACGACCGAAGATGTTGACCCAGCCAGTTCATGTGTTGGGGTGTTCGGTTCGCTTCCCTTCGGTTTGGGGTGGATGTTGAGAACAAAGGGCACCGGAGGCCGGACCGACATGGACCTGGAATCCGACATGGCACCGACATGGACCCCATTGGATCTGTATGAAGAGACGGGACGGAGCTGAGGACTTCACGCACGGCAATGGTCGAGGGGGTGAGTCGATCTACGGCGACAAGTTTGAGGACGAGTTCACCAACGGATTCATCTCGCGCGTCCACCCGGCCGTGGACGCGTCATTTTTTTTTGGGGGGGGCTGTTGGGTGATGTGGCTTCCAAATGGCTTAACCATGCTAAGCCCAAACAGAAGGGCGGGACATATGATATAGATGAGAACGCCACTGCGTCACCAGGTGACTTGATGGATTTGATTTTCGCCCTATCGCGCTGTGACCGGTGGGTATTGTGGCATAGCCCCAGGTGGAGTTTGCAAAGTTTGCAGGTGAAGATGTCAACTGGCAACATGAACGAGTCTCGACCCAACATGAACTCCCAGGTGGCGTTTGGGCCACGGCTCGTGTGTTCCTTTGCGTTTTGCGTGGTGCGCCCATGCTTGGATAAGATTGGGGAACTGAACGGAAGGTTGGAGAAGCAGAAGCCTTAGAGAACATTGACACATAAGTCAGAAGTCGTAAGAATCATAGAATTGTGCTATGGGTGCAACACTCCGAAAACCTTCGTTGAGTTCAGGAAGGGTGGACGATTCAATCCATCCATGGTCCCGCCTGCCAAAGGCCCCCCGTGGAAGGGACCACCGCTCTCATTTCGGTTCACGCAACGGACGCTGAACCGAAACCGAAACGGCGCTCGCCGAGGCACGACGCAGAAGGGCTTCTCTCGATGGCCAATGCGGGCAAGGCCTGGGCTCGATGGTCGAGGTGTCACGCTGGGGGTGTCGGTGTCGGTGACACTTTCTGGAGCTTTTCGGTGCCATTTCGCGGGGCCAAAGAGAGGACTGGGTGAAGTCCACGTGTGGAATGCCACTGGGTGGCCACGCGACCGTGCGTGAGGGAGGTTGGCGGGTCACGACCGCTTCAGAAGGGCGCTCGGCCACGCTGAGTTTGGCACGCTGAGTTCTGCTACTCGTACCAACTCACTAAGCCCTCCGCACTCCGCATGCTTTGCCGCATCGCAGAGGATACGAACGGATCACAGTTCTTCATCACCCTGGGTCCATGTGGCTTAGATGCAACGGGTGATGGCCGCAGACAGCTGGGTGAGAATGAAAGGTGTGGAATGCCAGTCGCAGGTCGAGCCCAAGGATCTGAAAGCACAGTCAGAACTCAGTCATCCCTGGTTGTAACTCAGTAACCTAGGCTGCTGGAAATTGATCCAGTTGGATAAATAAATCTGTGTGCCTACCCCACCTGTGCATGTCAACCGGGGATCTCAGTCAAAGTGATGTCACATGTGGATACATGATGATACATGTGGTGTGCATACCTCTGTCATCCTGCCAGGTATGCACTGTGAGGGGATGTAAGAATCAGATACGCCCAAGGTATCCCCAAAAAATGCCAAGAGCAACAAAAACTGTATACTGTATACTCACCAATCACCTGAATACACCCCGGGGTTACCCAAGCAGATTTTTTGATAGCAGCCAAAGCTCCGTTGAAGAGGAGGCCCTAGGATTTAACATGATTTAACTGTTTGGCATGGCTTGACTAGTCCTTTGGCAATGTTTTGCAGCGACGGAATTCTCCATGTGCCCAAGAACTCTTTCATTTGCAAGATGGTGCCTGGCCCCCACGCAAAGGCAAACACCTCGATGGCAAGCATGTGGTTTTTGGGCAAGTGACTGAAGGGATGGCCTGAGCCTCAGGATCTTCATTTGGGACGCAGCCAGTGCTCCAACATCCATGACTCTACAGTCACGAGAGGTGAAATCGCTTCATCGATGAGTCGGCTTTGGCATTTTGGTGGAGCCACCAACGTTTCTCAATCATTCATTTCCGTGCGGTTTGGCTTGGCTTCGTGCAGTTGGGCGCCCCCCTCGGTGCGCTGGACCCCGCGTTGGACCGAGCGACCGGGCGACCCTTCCGTGGTTCGGTCGTGGGGTCAGCGACGCCGGTGACTGGTCGCGGTTTTCCCGCCCATGTCGTGTCTTCGGAGCGGGACGGATCGGGATGAGGATGTGGTGAAGGCGATGGGCGACGTGGGTGCGCCGAGGGTCCGAAGAGATGGGCTGAGAAGTGGGGATGTGGGTGAAGAAGACGGGCCATAGAGGGCTCGAGGGGGGTGATCCGGGGGGGGGCACACGGTCAGGAGAGATGGCGTTGCTGGAGGTGCCATGCAGATCATGGCTATAGCCTGCAGAGGCGTTATAGGTCAGGTCTGAGTCTGAAGTGGGTTTCAAATTGATTCAAGGTTCCGAATTTGGAAAGGATCCTTATCGTCATTATCGTCGCCATCCACCTTTTGAGAATGAGTTCTGGCGGTGAACGTCCAGTGATGCATGAAGTCTAGGACACAATGCTGAGGTTCTGGATGGGGATGAATTTTTGACGACCGGCACACCAAAAGGATCCGTGCAGCAACCCAATTGAAACAGGTATACGGAATTATACGGATGTGGACGGCATATGCAATACAACGATCTCGCTTGAAGATGCTTGAAGATGCTTGAAGCATGCCTGCAGCATGTCCGCAACAGCAACCCCATCCTCCACGCCCCAGAGACCCGAAAACGTGCCTCCGGGGACCTCCTGCTGCGCAGGTACGAGTGGCGGTGACCCAAAAATAGAGGCGTTGGCATATATAATTAGTTCGAGTATCACGAAACTGGTGCAGGGAGCTGCTGAAGCCAAACCTTCGTTCTGTATGTAGCACTTGAATGCGGGCATAACCAATTTCCATGGTGGAGCATCCTTCATCCCCAGTTTAGTCCGTGGATCCTCCACTCCTCCACTGAGCCTCACCCGCTCGACCGGGGCGAGCTCCAGGTGGTCATCGAAGACTGTGGAGAGATCAAGAGCAAGTCCACCTGAACACTTCAGTGGCGTCCGCGCCGACTGCGTGGACCGCGCCGACGCAAAAGCGCTCGCAAACGGTGCAGCAAGGATCTGAAGGGGCTTTCCGCCCGGCGCGGCGACACGGCGCCGACGGCCGAAACGCCGCATGGTATCAGGTGCGCGAAGGAATGGAACAAGGGATGGGCTAGAATTGGGTGTGATCTCTATATTTTTCCAGGGGCCACCCTGGCTCAATGGGTTTCGGTCTATTTCCCTTGCAGGAGGGTCTTTGGCGTCCCTATTTTCATACCCATTTCCGCTGCTGATTCCTACCTGCCATCAGAACATTGCCTGCCGCTTCGGGACTCCGTGGATCACCTGCCCACCCTTTTTTGGGGCCCCATGGGTTTTCTCATTATTATAGATGTTCAACTTCCGGTGGAAAAGGATAGAACCAGTTCACAGTACACCTTGGTATCCTTGGTTTTCGGAGGGATCTCTGGCTCCAAGGGCACGTTCAGAGAGTTTCTTTTGTGTAATGATTGGATGGGAAACTCCACTCTAAGACTTGCGTGGTTTGGCCCGGCCAAACCCTGTGGATGTGGTTTCTACAGCTGGGTCAGCCGTCGACCCGGAACGCCCCCTATCCACATCATTTGACCCGGAAACATGAAAGGCTCCGTGTTGATTCCGGACTGTTTGTTGAACGCCGGGCGCGGTCTTTGCCGTCACTGAGAGTAACAAGTGATGCTGCGATGCCTCATTTTGTACCTGCAGGGGCCGGGGAAAATCGGCCGCGAGGAGGTTTGATCCGCGTTGATTGATCCGCAATTGCAGTCCAAGTGAATAGATGAACATCCCATGTCGCTGCGTTGGCTGAAGAGGTAGATAGGAGAGATTTTTTTTGGAAGGTACCTTTGAAGCAGAGGTGATCAGCTGTCAGCTGGACCGGAAGCTGCAGTGAACACATGTCAGCACATGGTAACCACCCCCAGATGCACCCAAGGATGGCCAATGCCATTGGCCGACAGTCACTGGCTAACATCGCATGCCACGTCCTCGATCCGGCCACTTCCTCGCACCGATGTTCCCGCCATGGCTTCCAGCCATGGCTTTCCGTGCCTTGCAGCCTTTGGCGTGGCTTCGAGTCCGTGTCCGTGCAGCGAGTCCAAAGGTTTGGCTGGCGACGGTCCCCATCCTGCTGAGCCTTCTGTGGGCTTACCTCCGCCGGGCCGCGCGGAGGTCGGGGGTGGTTCATGGGAGCCCAAGCAAGGACACGCCTGGAAGGGGGCCTTGGGCCGAATGATGGTATTGGTGTCTTTAATGCATTAACAATCATTAACATAGGGAGGGCCCTGGCATTTGGGGATTCAGCTAGCGAAGATTCAGTGATATAGTTTCAACTGCCCGTAATCGAAGCCAGCCTCGACGCCGCAAACTCGACTAGCTGACAGAAGAGTCTATCGTCAAGGTCCTTTGCTCCTTGGATCATCGATCGCTCCTCCTCGCCCTGGGCGTCTTCACGGGAACAGGTCTGAAGACGGCTTGAAAAAGGCGTTATCGTTTTCGCTGGACCAGGCATCTCCTGGCCTCGTCGCTGTGCCTCACCGCGCCGCTGCGTGCGGCCGGGGTGAAATACGCGACACCGCTGAAGCCGCTGCGGGGCTGGGATGGCTGGCAGGCAAGGAAGCGGATGGAAATCGCAAGCCCAAGACGTCTCAAAACAAATTCTGTCCATTTTAGCCCACCTAGCACCAACATGAGTTTGTCCGAAAACTGCCCAGTGGACTTGCGCGAATTCATGTGTGAAATCCGTGTGCGAAGGATTGGTGAGGTGATTTTGCGAGTGCCAAGGGGGCCGGTTCTTGGATATTCTTGGAGACTGAGGCACTGCCGAGAGCTTTGGTCCTATTTTTAAGGGGGTTCTTGGTGTTTAGTGAGATTCCCCACATCCCTTCCCATACTGTAGTGTAGCACCCAATGGGCAAGCCCTAGGCCTATGCTACCATAAAATTCTTAATTCTTTCAGATTACCAAGCAGGCCTCCTGCCCCTGCTGCAAACGCCCTTTGGAGATCGAGTTGCTCTCGACGCCCCCACAGCGCCCGGCAGTGGCTCCAGAGGCGACTGGCAGGCGGCATGCTCTTGAGTGGGAACGCAGTTTGTGGGTTCAAAGCAAACCCTGGTCATGTTCAAGTGTTCAAGAGCTAAGCGTGCAGTACACGGTATGCGTGCAGGAGGCAGCCGCCCCCGCTTTTTTGCTTGGCCCCGGCGAGTCACACTCCAAGCCTAGTAAAACAGATTACAGCTAGTTGTTTGTCTTATCTACTTATTTTCTCTCGGGTGTCTTTCTACCACATTGCTTTTTTACAGGTACGCCTTTCTGATCTGCCTCTGGGGTGCTTCAGCGGAGTACATGGTGGGCGCCATGGTCCTGGGTGCCTCGATCCGGAAGACCGGCTCTAAGCACCACCGCGTGTGCTTGTACACAGACGACGTGCCTCAGGCGAAGCGCGTGGGCCTGGTAGGGCCTTCAAACACTTGTTTAGGGACGTTGTTTTCTATTTGTGTGTGTGTGTTTGTGTCAGTTTTTTTGTTCTTTCGTGATTGACTTTTGTCGCCAACGGGCGGGTGGCGGGTGAGACTTCTTGGCCAATTTGTTTTTCTCTTCGAGGACGCAAGCTATACCACTGTTCTTGTGATTGGTTCAACACGCGCCAGACCCTCCCTGCGCCATCCGCCGCATCAACTGCATGGACCCCCCTAGACATCCCGCGACCACCAGACCCCGCAGATCGAGCGGAGTTTTGCAGGAACACATCCGGGAGCTGTCCAAGTTGTGGCGGTGTAAGTTGATTACCCACGTGGATGCGGTGATGGATCAGCTGAGCTTTCCTGACAAGGAGGACCGGAGCTTCTAAAAACGGCGGAGAGAAGAAGAAGTGGTCTTCCACACAGGTTCTGGGGTATGGGAAGCCAAATTTCCGGATATTGACAGAGTTTGCCTTAGTAGATTTGCTCCCTCAACGCACGTTCCAACGCTCGGCTGGGCTTTGGAGATTCTCCATCCTCCGCTGCGTCGGCGCGCCTCATCCGGCCCTGGGCGGCCAGGAACGCTTTGCCAAGGTCTTCACCAAGCTCCGGGGATTGGGCCTGACGGAGTATGAGAAAGTCTTGATGATGGATATCGACGCTGGGCCTCCACGAGGATTTTTTGGTAGGGTGGGGATGGAAGGGTGGCACAGAGTGCAACAGAGTGGCTTGTCAAGCTGTGCAAGTACGTGGCATGTGATCGTTCCTCCATTCCTCCGTGGGTTGGTTCCTTATGGCCTTATGTCTTGGACTTCGAAAAGAGGTGGTGAAGTCAGTTGCATCATCCCCTGCAAACGTTTCAGTCAGCTTGGTAGAACCTTCCCACCATTCATCAGTGCATCAGGATCATCAGGTGTAGTGTTGCCATGTGTTGCCTACCTTTGGGCTGTCACAGGGCCCAAGATTGTCGGCCAAAGGCAGATTTCAGCAGATCGATGCGCACAGTAATCAACCTTGAAACATGGATAGTGAAGACCCACCCGCTCGTAGTCGTAGGTCTTTTTATGTTAATTTTTTAACTGTGAAGGCGTGGCGGGAGTAATCTGTTAAAGGATCGCCAGCTACTACGTAGCATGGTGAAGAGATGATACATCTTCAATGGCCAGTGCTATGGCGGTTCACGATAAAAACGTAACAAACAAGAAGAGGCTCGGCGGCTCTTTGCGATCCACCTTTGACAGCCATGGGCGATCTTCGCCAAAGAGCGCTGGGCATCATCTTCCTTCAGGTGTTGAACCTCCCGTTGCTACTAACATCTTTCAAGTCAGTGCCTTGTCTCGCATCGAGTCATGACAGCTGATTAAGCATGATACTTCATGGGTCGAGGATCGTTCAGGATAGTTGATGGTATTTTTTTTTTAATTTTATGGTTTTGATCATCGTGGACGACAGTCGAAAAGACAAACAAACTTCATTCAAACGCACTTCAAAAAATAGAACATGCCAAGGCAAGACCTTCTTGATGAGATTTTTAGGGCATTTGAGGGGCCTGGACACCGGACTCACCGCACTGGGCCTATTCCTCTCTTCGAGGACCCGCGGCTGGGCCTGGCTGGATCGGCCTTGATGCTGACCTTGGCCTTCCTGACCGCCAGCAAGGCCAACAGCGGGACGGTGGAGGACGGGACGAAGATCCTGGAGGTCAAGAAGAGCCAGATCTCCACATCCTCGACGAATCGCTTGGTGCGGATCTCTAAAGGAACCCTTGGCAAATTGGGTAAGTGGAGGGCCTTTGAGCATAGTCGGTGCTGCAGAGCCTGCTGCAAGGGTGCAGCCTATTCGAAGGTCATGGCATATGGCAGCACCGTGCAGCACCCCTGGTGCTCCAGATACCCTAGGGCTCCAACCACCTCGTGAAGATGGTTGGGGTGGGTTTGGGGGGTTTAACCACCTTCTGAGGATATGGTTGGAGCCCTAGGGATACTTTTATATTTGTATATATTCTGTGCGTTCGTCTTGGAACGACTCAGTTCTCAGCTGCACCGAGAATCGGTGCTTCATTGACCGGTCGTGGGTCGATTTTCATCGTCCGGGATCTCCACTGACTTGATTGTCCGGGATCTCCACTTCATCTCTCTCAGGTCAAAGCAGGTCAGGAGAGAGAGTCCATCGGAGTTGAAGTTCTCACCGGGAGTTGATTGTCCATCGCCAACTTCTGTCAGGACTTTTGGACTTCTATGGTGCATACAGTTTTTCACCAGCATCTCCGCTGCTCAATTGGCTGGGCTCCTTTCCTTTGGCCTTTTGCAGCTCAATTTGGTTGATCACTGGCTACTATGGACACTTGGTGGGTGACAGTGGGCCCGGGGAGGTAGCCTCAGGTTGGTCAGGGACCTTCAGGTTGGCCTGATGGGTGGGATGTACCTTGGGTGAACGCAGACATTTAACTGGACAAGCTGAGTCAGTACTGACACAAAAAATACAACGCGGCTGGTCCCACACATATTGATCTTAAAGACTTGTTCATCCCCTTTGGGAAAGACGATGCCAACTGATCATGACTGACAAGTACTCATATCTTTCAGATCGGAAAGATTAGCGCTTCGAACGCGCCAATCGGAGAAGTATTCCTCCACCGTGAAAACCGGGCAAGGTGGTCAGACGGTCTTGGCAGCTGACCAAAGCAATGTTGTTCAACATCTCAACGACTGAGAGTCTGTGATATTCTTGTGTGCTAACATGGAAGTGGAAAACCACCTGTTTATCAAGGAAACTCGCCAGAGTCAATTTTCCACTTCCCTGTTGTTTGTGGATGGTCACGGGGATGCCAACCAATGAAATCACTTGCGCGACACTCCTACTAGAAGATGATAGCTCGAAAGAACCTGACGGCTTTAGTCACCTCGACGCACTGAAGCAGGTCATTGTCTCAGTCAATCGCAAACAACAAACCAGTTTTAGATATTTGAATGCTATTTCTGGATATGTTGGTTTCCCTTGCATTGATTTGGGTGCAACATGCTCCAAGCATCGGCACCAACCTTTATTGCTGTCCAATGACCACTTCGATCCATGTCACCAGGGGAGCTGCAAGCCCCATGGCCCCGTGGTATTTGGCTGAGGACAATGAGGCAAATGCAAGGGCCCAGAGCCCAGCTGGAATCCTGATGGTCGCGGCTGGCGTGCCATGCCGCAGGACGGAGGTTCTTCCCCCCTCCACCTCCACCTCCCAGGTGGGTGCCCCCCACCCTTTGACGCCGGGCATTGCCTCTAGGAACTCATTGAGCCCATCCAGAAGCACATGGAGAGGAGCCGAAGCGAGGGAGCTCGTCCGTCTGACGGGCGAGACTGTCGGGGTGCCACTCGTTTGGGCTGCGCCAGGTAGGTTTGCTGACCGGTCTGGTGATCGCCCCAAAAAGTTGAGAGCCCACCCCAGAAGGGCCCTTGGGAGTGGGTGTCGAGGTGTCGATCTTGCCGTGTTTTTCGCGTGAAACACACTTGTTTGCAGTTTTCGATGTTTAGGTTGAAGGGGTTGTGGAGTTTGGAGCGAAGACTGTAAACCTGCGAGAAGATCATAGGACCATGAAGATGGCACCGTGGTTCTCAGAGAAATGGTATTGGCATGAGACATTTTGTCCCTGGCATGTTTGCCGCACTGAGTGTTGACCGCATTGCTCTCATGGGAACCAATGCATCATGCTTGGTTCGATGCATTGGTTCGATGTGTGTTCTGTAGCTGCCCAAGTGTCTCATACCTCCAGGACCGAGAAGCAGATTATGCCCATGGCCCTGCTGGTGCTGCTGTCAGCCCAGATCTTGCCTTCCCTGTTGGGCTAGACATGGCTAGATGCCTTGGAGCCCAGCTGTTTTGGGTGACATATTCCTCCAAATTGAATTATCAGTTTTCCAATCAAGCCGTGGTTCAAGACTGGAATGCTTCCAAGAGGTAGTGGACGGTTTGTGCATTTAGCCTTTTGAATGATCGATTTGGAGCAGCGAAGTGTTGATTGTTTGAACCACCTGGCACCTGATAGCCAGACCGGCATGTTGAAGCACTTCTATGTCGTACATTGTTGTCGCCTAGGGGCCTTTCCAGGTGTAGGACCTTACGCCGCGACATTGTGAAGGCAGCAGGGCATCACTTGCCCAGCTTGCTTGAGCCGTCGCTGATGCGAGTGTCCAGTCTCCTGCGGACCCCAAAACACGTGCTGAACCTCCCGCGCGGAACCGCGTGATGACACCGAATCGGCCAACAGACCTTTGGAGTTCATGTTCATGATGTTCATCATGATGTTCATCATATGGCAGCTTTCGTGGGTGGGTCGGAGTGAGGTGGGGTGGTCCGGATCGCACACAGCCCACTGGTGACGTCCGTCCCGAGCCGTGGCTCGGTGGCTCCGTGGCATGGGAGGCTCCACCGACCCCAAAGTAGCGTCCGATCGCTCCGAACGTATGGTTCCGAAGATGTCAGATCAGGTCAAGAGCATGGACTGATCCTCTTGGATGATGTTGGATGATTCCATGATTTTGTTTGGCTTATGTTCACCTAAAACGGAACTTCCCTGCTCAGACCACGCCTCAGCACTGAAGCCTATACAAACAGATGCAGAAACTTCTCAGGAGAATCTATAATTGGAGCTGAATGGGACCCTCAAAAATTGTTCTTCGACAAGGCACTGTTTTTTTGGGTGTCATGCTGTCAGCACCTTCACTTGTGCATACACGTGCCATCAGTTTGCTTGTCGTAGGGCGTTCAATCTTCCTCTTCCATATCCCGCGTTGTGCTCCTGACACGCCTCATGTGCCTCACGCGCCCGAGGATTTGCTGGTCCGTTCCAACATTGACGACCTGTTCGAGCTGCCGGCGCCCGCGGCGCTACGCAGAGGAATGAACGAGTGGGGCTTGGCGCAGCATGGGAAGCCCATTGATGGGCGTTCGTTCCTGCTGGGCGAGGTGGGGGTGAGAGTGAGTTAACACAGGAGGTGGGAGTATCCGGTTTTCCCAACTGAGTCGGAATGTCTGAACCACTTGCTAGCATCGAATTGGCAAGCCTATGCGCAGCAGACTGCAGGCTTTGCCCTCATTTTCCGGGGTTTTGACCTGCTCCGTCAATGGGAAGAAGACATACTTTTCCTTGAGCCCTTGGAAGCACCAAAGGAAAATGGAATGCCCAGGAAAAAATTACACTTTGGCACGCCAATGTTGATGTGGATGGCATGGCCTCTGAAAAGACCATTCTCCAGGTTTCTTTATATAATATGCTCGTGGCGTTCAGAGCCTCAACCTGTCAGAAGTACTTTGTGGGCAAGCATGGGCCAGCCATGGTGCTTATATTATTTATATTGCACTCAAAGAGGCTTGTCGTCCCAGGAAAGCATGCCCTCCACATTGGTTCAGAAGTCATCTCCCCGAATGCTGCAAGCCCCAATGAGGTCGTGTCAGAGTCGCCAGCTCCAGACCCACACCCACACCACACCCACATCGCAAAACACCCCACCATCCGCCAGGACAAGAGCATGCCACGTTGGTCCTGGGGCCAAGGCACTGGTATCAATGCTGGGGTGATGCTTTGGCAGCCCAACCAGGACTGGAGGTCTCCCTGAGATGGAACTGACGGACCGGAACTCCAGTTCGATAGGATCATGTCCATCCATGTCCATATTTCGGCCCCAGGGAGAGGGAAAGCGCATCTTGCTTCAGTTCAGTGGAGGTTCTTCTACTCGGGGCTGAGAGAGCGCATCTTTAACCCAAAGGGACAGGTCATCCATCAATCAGTCTCAGGGCTGAAGATGCCGATTTCAGGCGAGGGCGCCGCTGCGAAACAGGACCAAGCTTTGTGACATGGTACGACATGCATGAACTCCCGGCTGTCCAATCCTGATAGTTTCTGATAGTTCAGCATTCTGTAGGACATGTTCCCTATCCGAGTGTGGTTTATGGCCTCCCAAGCTCCGGGAGCATCGGGAGCATCGGGAGGCCAGAGGAACCATTGGACCCGATTGGGATCTACCATTTTCTTATAGATCTTGTCACTGGAGCAGGAGATCTGTGTTTCTTCTCATGGTGGAGCAAACTCGCGAGTCTCGTACCCGTCGTATCCCGAACATCGTGCCAGGATGTCCTGGATCAAATGCTTGCAGAGCTTAGTGAACCCAATCACCCGGACCGGGTGACCTCGCGACCGGCACGCCGTGGTGACCTGTGCGCGGACCGGTCACATCGGCTTTGACCCAAAAGGCTGATTTTGCGAGGTGGGAGTAGGTAGGTGGTATGTCTCAGCCCCGGAGTGCTTGAAAGCATAATGGTTTCAATGAGTCATCTCGCAAGAAATGAACTTGACAACAAACCAAAAGGACGACGGCTGGCTTTATAATAGGTCATGCTTCGTTATGTTCTTATTCTCATCCTCCTCCTCCTGCTCCTGTTCCTCCTCCCTCCTCCTCCTCTTCCTCCTCCTTGCTCCTTCTCCTGGTCCAGCAATGAGCAACTTGTAACTAGTATCAAACACGGTGTTGGGACAATGAGTTGGCTCCCTGGTTCACATTGTCGCACGCCCCCAATGGCCCCTTGGAAAGACCATGTTTGGAATACAAAACAGGTGGTTTTCCACTTCCATGATTATTTCAGGCAGTAGACTGTCTGAAGCACCAAGTTGTTTGGTTCCATTGGCCATGGGTCGCAGGAACATGTGAAGGGCAACGGGCCGGAGCAAGATTACTTGAGCCGCTATTGGGCTGATGCACCCTGGACATACATCGGCGCCCAGTACAACTTTCAGTTGCACCAGAGTCTTGGTTTGTGAGGAGCACCTGGTTAGCTGTTAGCATTGATTCGGTTTTCAATCCGTGTATGTATCGTTTCGATTCTCTACAGTGATGTTGAATGTTGAATGCTGACGATGAGACAAGCCACACGCAGTGCATCCCAGTTACCACTATATACGGAACCCGGGATTCTTGGTCTATGGTTTTAGTCTTTGGAACCACTGGGACTCCCAGCTATAGTGGTTTGCCTGGATGCCTTGGGACAGGGTAGATGTTGGACCATTCCGCTGCGGGCGTGTCCTCTTCGTCGATTTCTATTCGGAAAAAACTTCTGTCAACTCCTCATGCGCCCAAAGCAGGCACTGCCCGCAGAACCCTTGGAACCCCTGGTTCGTTTTTCTTCATTTTGGAGTCCATTCAGAAGTTTCAGTGATGAGACCTGATCGTGTGCCCGCTGAAACGTGCTTTCCATCCGTGTCTCAGGATGTTCTTCGCTTTGCACCCCGACAGGGTGCAATACGCTGAAAGGGCCAACTTGTTGCAGAACCCCGAGAATATCAAGATTCCTGGCGGGGTTTCATGGATAGAGGTGTCCAACCAACGGCTGGCTGATCGTTCAGCGGCTTGGGTACAAGGACAAGTTGTCCAGCAGCACAGAAATCGTTTGGATTCAATTTCGAGGCTATTTGGGCTTAAGAGCTGCCCTCGAATAGAGATCTTCCAATCTTGTACTTTAGTCTTTTGCACCCTTATACGGAAGGTTCTTTGCAAATTCATTGTGGGTCTACTGTCTACTTGAGATGTTGGTTCATGGGGGCATGTTGCAGACAAAATCGCGACCAAGCATTACTACACTTGATCGCACAAGAAAATGGGTTCAGTTTTGTCTTCAGTCAGTTTATGTGATTGGCACTGCTGATGGGTAACATACAACTGTGCAATTTATATGGATGCATTGTGATACACTTTGCCCACCCCGTGATTTTGTTTTGACATCACTAGGGAACCACTCAGAAAGATATCCCTTTTTGGCCACGGCTTCTCCAATTCGGTTCATCTCTTTCCTACCGTCACCTCGTTGCCCCTTGCCCTGACCAAACATGGCCAAAAAGGATTGTGCACTACTCGGGGAAGCCAACAGCCAAGCCTTGGCATCGGGTCTTGGATGAGACCTGGAAAGAGTTCTGGCCCAGCCGGGCACGGGATGAGGAGCGCCTTTCGCGTGGAAAACGCGCGCGCGTTTTCGGCACTTGGAGATTGAGAGACTGGAGGGGGTGCGCAGAGTAGATGGCGCAACCCCCGGGGGATTGTGCCATCTATTCTTGAAACCACTGTATATAGATGTAGGGCCCGGCCGCAGAAGACTCCGTCGCCAGAGGGGCCATGAACCATGCAGGTCAGAGAGATGGTCAAATTCGACGACATGCATTGCTCTGCATTGCAGCATTCATTGCTATTGGATGGGGCAACACATGGTCAGCGGGTGGGGTTGCCCCAAACCACCCGTGTTGCCCAGTGGCTGCTGGGATCCACGGTAGAAGATTCATGCCAGCAGAAAAGAGATGGTGTGGTCAAACCTAGGGATCATTCATGCCGTCCATGTCGGGTTCCACAAGGATCGTTTACTGAGTAACTGGGGCTACTGTTTTTATTTTTTTTTCAGCGCGACTCCGAGCACCCAAAAACCAGTACTGCACCACCAGTACTGCGCCAATGCTCCACCGGGTTGCGTTCTGAGCCATTCCCACCACGTATCAGACGTATGGCCCCAAAAAAAGGGGCGACTCCGTGATGTGGTCGCCTGGCATGGTCCCCGTGACGTTGTCGCATTCACTATCTTCCGTTCATGAACTACCGGGAGTGCTCTGTGGGTGTCGGTGGCTCCACTGTGACAGCACTGTGGTGCTCCACTGCGAGGAGTATGTGAAGCTTTTCGCCGAGGAATTCATGGGCCTCTGGGCGATGATACATCTGGGGCGAGCGAACCGATCCGGGGGTTTTGGCCATGAGAGAGGCGGGTGGTGTCAGGTGGACAACACCGGACTTGACTTCTGCAGGGCGGGTCCAAACTTCCGTGAGGATACCGAAGTGAGTGACCTCCTCCAAGAACAGCTAGGTACCATCGCTTGTTTCATTGGTCCCAAAGCGAGGCGAGGAAGGCCACGTCAGGGTCTTCCTCTCCAAACCACCGAGCCATGGCGATGCGTCCGGTTTTTCTCTTCATCCGTTCGTCCGGAAACGGACGACTTCTTTCCCTAGGGATCCAAGTACGTCCTCAGAAGGTACTTGGACCCTCCAAACCTACATAAACAGTCTCCAATCACCTTCTGACAAGGTACTTGGATCCCTAAGGTTTTGTCGGTTTTTTGATTGCCACAGGGTTCGCGTCTTTTCGTGATGGGGAACCTGTGGCTGGAAGAAGGCACACTGGTCAACAATGTACACGCCCGCCTGAAAGCTAGGGGCTTGTGAAAGAACAGAGTCCAGCTTTCTTTTCCGCAGGTCCATGTTAGGTACGGGAGTGGAATTCCGGTAAACACTGCGAACATGCATGACTACAGAACACATGAACATTGAGTTGCTGTGCCCGGCCCTTCATCCTCGCTCTTCTTTCCTGAGGCTACTGGCTATGGGTGAAACGCGACCCCAAGATCTTCGAGTCACATGCCAGTGGCTGGGACATGGCTGGGATCGAGCTCAACGAGGAGACCGGTGAGGGCTCATCCGTAGACGTCATGGGTTGGAGTTCAGATGGGCCAGCAGTGATAGATTAAGTGGCTTTCTGTGGGTAACAGTGGCCCATCACAAGTGGGCCAAGTGATGGTATCCACGGTTAGTAGATCAAGTGGTCCACAGTGATGGGCCCTTTTACTGTGGATCGAGTGTCTTACTGAGGGCTCACTTGCAGGTCATTCATCATCCTGGCAGGTCAAACATGATAATTATCGGATAATCTAGGAGTCTAACAACTTGAAGAGTCAACCAATCGCAAATCAGGGGGCACCCCCAAAAGGAGGCATTAGAACTTCGGTGATCAAACAACCACCTGACCACCTGACCAAAGGAAGTAATGGTGACCTCCAGGAGTTGGGGTGCCTTTGGAACTGCTGCTGGTTCCTTTTGTACTGTAGGCCTTCCTCTGCCCAGGGAGGCCCCCCCGAAGCTTCAGACGGCAAGTTCCAGCGAAGTGGCCCGACCGATCATCGAAGTTACTGCTGTAGAGTGACAGCTCTCAGGTGGACCTGCGTGACCTCTCAACAAAAGGCCGATCTGTTTCATGCTACACTCCCTGGAATCATCCAGGGTGCAGATGGGAAAATGGCCCCAATTTCGATAATTCCAGGGAGTGTAGTATGAAACAGTTTGTGTTGCCACCATGTCATTGGATGTTGCTCCCGTAAGATTCTTGGCTTCAATTCGGGGATCCCTGTCATCGGATGGCCCCTGCGTCCGAAAAACCGTTGATGGGCTAATCCGTGGGGCTTCGTAGGGCGCAGCTTGTGTTGTTAGTGCTGAGGCGCCGCGCCATCGTGCAGACACCAACCATGACCAACCCCTTTGAATTAGGTGGCCTCCTTCTCATTCCTTTTGGCCTCAAGTAGGCATTTCTTCCCCCTTTGCATAAACCATTGAGGTGTAGCTTTTGTGTTTTGAACATATCCTTCCATCCGTCCATCCGGGTGCCGCCGCAGGATGGGGAATACCAGCGCCGCACCGGTGAACAAGTGGAATGGCTGCCGATCCCTGAGAGCATCTCGGGTGGCGCAATGCAACTTGGAAGAGGCCATGGTGGTTTCTATTTGTGTCCCCCAGAGAGCTGAGCAATAGCTATGGGGTTCTTACATGTTCTTTTTTCAACAAGAATTGAGCTGGCTGTGCGCGCTTTCGAGACAGGGTGTCGGTGCTGCTGTCACTGGGTGCAGGTTCCCGCTGTTGCAACTGGTTGGGTGCTGGTGCTGGTGCTGGTTCTTGCAAGGTCACGTCTACACAGAATAAAAACACATGGGTGCTGCTTGCAAATGCAATTGTTTTTTGGATATGACTTTTTTTTTGGCAGATGTTCACATCCAGCAGCCCCAGCTCAGCCTCTCCCAATGGAAACAACATGAAACAACCAATTCTCATCCGGAGACTGACGGTGACACCCACCACCGATGACACCCCACCGAGCTCGGACCAAGACCCTGACCTCTAACTCTCTCAGCTTCGCCATTGTGAAGCCCCCATGGTCCCAGGCAGTTGTTGTCCTCGGTGCTGACGGCGACCTGGCGGGAAAGTCTACCCCATGGTAGAAGTCGATGGGGTCGGCCTCAACCCAACCTTCGGTGTTCAAACACCAACCCCATTTTGGCCCAACCAATTGAGACATTCCACTCCTCCACTTCCGGAGCAGGCGGACCGGCTGCAATCTCCAACTCTCGGGGTCCGAGCACGAGGCACGTTGAACTCGGACGGCACGTTGTGGGCCAGGTGGGCCAGGTGCATCTCTTAGGAGTGGGAAGGAGTGGCGAGGGAGTGGCGAAGACTGCCTTCCGCTGAGGAATGGTTCGATCTTTTTCAGTCCTTGGAGACGGAGTTTGGCTTCCAGCCCACCTTGCTCTCCACATCGGGTCCACGTGTACGCGCGGGTCCCGTGGGTCGGGAGCTACGCCTGAAGAACACCATGTGGAAGCGTCCGTTCAGGGCAGCAGCTTGGCTTGCTGCGGTTTCTTTGCGCAACTAGAATGAGCTCACCCAGTGAATAGGATGAATAGGCCTTTTGGGCATTCAGTTTCATTGTCTTTTGGCACTTGGAAGGGCCCATCCGGTGTTTCCACTTTCCACATCCGTCAACGGATCCGGTCCGTTCGCCCCGCGAAGCCGCTCCGCTCCCCGTCTCGAGCGGCTGTTGGCCAAGGGCTGGTGGACAGAAGCCGAGAAGACGGAGAAAGGTGGTGAAGCAGCTGCAGGTGCTGGAAGCGAAGGTGACTGGTCAGGAGACATGTTGTGCTCTTTTCTCACCCACCTACATGTGAGACACCTCCATAGCAGAATGAGAACATACCTGAATCATCGAAACGTATTGATGGCCGGCACAAATAATGGCCTTTTCCAGAAAAATGATGTTACGGTGTTTTTCCCAAAGACATTCTATATTCTTTTTTGGGGGTGACTCGGTGACCAGGCGGAAACCGGTATCCTACAGTAAATGGCGTCTTTAGGTGTCCAAATGGCGTCTTTCCCCGTCCATGGATGTTTGAGCACATGTTTGCGACCCCTAAAATTTTTTGATTACTCAAACATGTTTCTGGCAAAAGTTCGTGCCGTTTGAAGATCCAGGTATGCCTTTGGAGACGAACGATGGGGAGGGAAAGAGAGAGAGAGAGAGAACTCAATGTTCACACGACATGTTCACAATAACGACAAGGAAGAGGGCATGGTCCAGGGTGGTTTTCTATACCCGCCCTCGTCCGCAAGAAAGCACACCAATCCAACGCCACAGCCTTTCATCCAGCCAATCAGTCGTTTTTCTTAATGGCGCTAACTTGGGGCTCCTTGTTGGAACCTCATACCATCCCAGGCCTAGTGAAGCTGACGGTAAGTTGCAGCACTTCGTCTGAAGCAAACTTCGTGTCACTGCGGGACTCAACCAGCATCTGGGATGAACATCCATGGAATGGTTGGCTTGTTCTTTCTTGTTTGAATTGGTGATTGTCAAACTGGGTTGTCGTTCTTTCTTTCTCTTTCCCCGTGACAATCCGGTGTTCACATCGTTTGCAGTCACCTGAAGGAACCAACCTAGGCGTGTATGAAGAGCAGGGCTTTGACGTCTCGGGGCTTTACATCAAGCTTGAGGGACAGACGGCTGCCAGAACCTTCTCCTTGGACAACTTGCCGCTCGGCATCTCATCTCTTGGTGGCAAAAGAGGCCCAGCACCAAGCAGCGGCAAATGAACGATCCATGGGGATCAACCCGTGCAGAGAACACACACCAAGCGTGTGACAGGGTGCAGGGATCAACCCCTGGCTATGCCTGGCTCGTTTTAGATGTGGACCATGTCAGTGCAGAATCTATTCATTCAGGTCACTGATCAACTTGTGTTTATCTTGTCTCTTTCGTTTGACTTACAGTAGCAGTTTTTACAATGTTTTATCCAGCAAGTCCCCGGTACTGCCCCTATTATGTCGAAACCAATTTGGTAGGAAGTGGCAGAACTGAAACTTGTTACTGTATATGTTCCTACTATGCAACAGTAATAATGTAGCTGTGGACTATACCGTCAATTCACGACGATTCAAAAGAAGGACATTCCAGTGCTTCGACATCTCACAAAAGCAGAACTGGTGTATTTTCCCAGAAGGCGCCTTCTGTATCAACCAAATATCTCACGTATCACTTCCCCAGAAAAACCTCCCTTCAGCCCTGAACCCAGGTCTCCTGATGGTCTTTTGCCTGTGCACCTCTGGGTGGATAGCGTCCCCGTGGGCGCCATCGTGCTGATGGCCATCGTCAGCGACGGAGAACGAGCGCTGGGCGACGTGCTGCAGGCCCTGGCGCCGCTGGGCGTGCCGCAAGCAGCCCCGCCACTGGGCAGGATTGAGACCAGGACGGTGGGAGGGAACACAGTGAGGCGAATCATGAACCCTCCTGCATTTTTGTACTTGGAGTCCAAGTCCCCCCTTGCTTTCTCCCAGTGCTGGCAGGGGGCTTTATTGTTTTTCTTTTGAGTGTGTGTGCGTGTGTGTATGTTTCTGAGCTTTCGGAGACTTGCCGCACATGGCACTTTCGGTTTTTAGAGTCATGCAATCTGTTTCGGGAGTCAAGTCCAAAAGGACTGGTCTTCGTCTTTGTCCTCCATCGCATCAAGATTGTCCAATAACCTCCACCCAAACGATGCGATGGACTCGCTCCTCGTCTTTCCCCTTGTCCCTCACGCTCGTTCGTTCCTCACCGATCGCCACGGCCACGACCGAGGCCTCCGAACACGCAGGCCTTAGCCTGTATTTCGATGGCCGGGACCGAAGGGCACGCGACCTGACCCAAGCCGTTGGGGGTGAAGGGCCCAGGGCTTTGGTCGTTCGAGGGGTACTGGGACTTCCTGGGACCCCCAGACCAGACGAATGGGACCGATCAGTTGGGGTGGGGACGAAAGGGGTCAATGTATGGAGCATATGCCAGTCCCAATTGTCTGGTCTGGCTAATGGTGGATGGTGAGTCCATGAAGCACTCAATTCGATTTCCACTGGAGGTGGTGCTTCCTTCCTTTTTTGGAGGGATCTGCTATGATCTGTTGTTTTGGATCCGCATGTGACGTGACGCTGACACGGACATCCAGTTTCTAGACATGGGACGAGGTCTTATCACGAAAGCTAGCCTTAGCTAGCTGGAGTTGCTCTTGCTTTAGCAAGTTAAGTGACGGGGTGGACGCACCTCAGAAACCTCAAATAATTGATTAAATCAATCTTATGGACCCCCCCCCCCCCCCGCGGTTCGACTCCCCCCTGCGCGCGGTGAGCGGGACCACCAAGCAGCTGCAGCACACCAAGCATCTGCAGCGCCCAGCGCAGCAGCGGCAGCAGCAGCAGCAGCATACCCAACGCCGCGGCAGCAGCAGCCGCAGCAGACCACCCAGCGCCAGCAGCAGCAGCAGCAGCAGCAGACGACCCGGCGCCTGCAGAGCACCCAGCGCAGCAGCGCCCAGCGCAGCAGCGGCAGCAGCAGCACCAGCAGCAGCAGCACCAGCAGCAGACCACCGGAAGCCCGGCTAGCTTTCGTTCACCCCCTCTGGCCTCAAGTTTGGCATATTTGGCTCTTCTCCTGCATGAGATATCATACGATCAGCCTGGAGGAGAGATGTTGAAATCAACCGCGTCCTTGGTCCATCCAAGGACGTGCCTTGTGCCAATCATGCCTCCCCTGACGTCGCCTACGCCTCCGTGCTGTTCGACCCCACCGGGTCTTGAAAGCACAGACGTGCTACGAGTGCGGGACGCAAGTCGTCCATCCGGCCATCCCAACGACAAGAGATGGTGATTGATGGTGGGTCTCATTAGTTTCCTGTGGCTTTATGATGCACTCAAGGGTGTACATGGGTGTACCATATGCTGCATATGCTGTCGTCCTTTTACTTCAGGAGGTTTCGGCCTGCCTTCGCGCTGGGAAAGTCGGGAGCCACTATCCACCCTGCGTCTTGTAGAGCAGGAGAGCATGGTGGTAAGATGCAAAATGCCCTGAAACGTTGCGAAAACCAGGTGCGTTTGGCTGCATTTGTTTGAGCAAACCACCGCTGCACAGAGCTATACTGTAGGGATCTGTAGGGTTATATTATGATTTTTGACACTCCTCTTCAGGGTTCTTTTGAGAGGAACAGTTGGTTTTGACACGTGTCTACTAAATCAGTATTTGTTTACTCGGCGGAACATTTGTTTATCGAGGATGTGACCGAACATGATCACTTGATGCTTTGCGGGGGGGGGGGGTAGGGCGGACCCAAATATCCTGCTGAAAGATCTGCTCAAATTACTGGAATGGCAGCGCTTCAGCCATGTGCTGCGAAGTATCACCATGACCTGGAAGACATTCATCGAGAACTGGCGGGTGCGCAAGACCCACAAGAATTGGCAGAGCGACTTGTAAACATCTCAGTTTCCAGGAGTGATTGGGAAGGGCTGCTGCGAACTGGGAAAGGTGAGGATGCGGGGTCGATAGCTCAATGCGCCATTGAAACCTCTTTAACTGCAAGCGCCGTACCGCCAGATCTGGAAGAACTTCTGGCCGATTTCTTTCAAGCAGTTGTGTCTGTTGGTGAGGAGCATCCGCACATGGCTGCTTTGGTCTTAGGAGGGGCTTTGTCAGGGCTTCGACATAAATCAACTTGCCCTTGTGCACTTCCAATCCGGATGTTGCAGATCTGGTTCGAAGGAAAACTCTTGGAGATTGTGGTGAGTGCGTTAATCGGGAACCACGACACCTTTCGTGTTGATGGAGTTCTTTCGCATGCGTGTGCTGGATGGCTGTGCAGCCTTCCGGATCGGGTGTCACAAGCCTTCGGAACCACTTTGTGTGCTGACTTTGCATCTTGGCTTGACTCGGTCTACGTGGAACGCCTGGTGGCTGCCGTTGTGTCCTCGACTCTAGTGACCGAGACCGATGATTGGACGACGGCCCTCGAGCTGTGGGCACGCTTGGCGCTGCGCGGGAACGCGGCGAGGTTGGCCGCGGAGGTCTGTGCGGCATCCCTGAGGGGTGGACGAGAGGCTGCAGCGTTGATGGGGCGGGTGATCTTGAAGCTCTCAGAGGAGCATGTCGCAAGCAGGAGCCGCAAGAAAGGATCAAAGGGACCGCTCAAGGGACCCGCAACATACCGAAACGGAAAGATGTATTGTATATAAAACATCTGAAACAAACATTGCTGCAGGCTGAGGGGTTTAGACTCAAGCTGCTGCTTTGCAGGAGTCTGGTCGCTGCCATCTTGGAGGCCGCAACACTTGTTTTACGGATCAGCTCCTCGCAATTAGTATCTTGGAGGTGTCGAGCAGTGCTGAACATGTTTGTTTTTTCACGCAGGCTAGTGCTTTCAGTGGCTTACGTAGTTTTCTTACTTGTTTTTGTTGCTGCACGAGGTGCAAAAAACCGCCATTGGTCGGCAAAACAGCCATTGGTTGACCCCTCCAAAGGTCATGGAGAACTCAGGGTTCCGTCTATTATTCCCTCTGCCTGACCCTCCAAAAGATCCAAAGGAAATACTAGAGGGAGCTCTTTCTGGGTGCGCTATTTGGAGGAACACCAAATGGAAAGACGGATGAAGACCATCAACGGTGATCTGCCAGCTCGCCTGCGTGAGCGAAACAACTTGGTTTTCAAGTTCCGCATCAAAACATGTAAGCCTAGTCACACACCCACTGGATGTTTTAAAACATTGATTTGCAAGTCGACAGGCACGAAGCGGCCGACCTTTTTTCAACCACCGCACCACAGTCAAAGGGGACTGCGGGGGAGCCGGGCGATGAATGCGGGCGAATCGGATCCCCTTTTTGGGGGCTTTCAGAACGGCCCAAGCCCGGAGCTCCTGCTCCGGACCGGCCGCGAAAACCACCCGTTCCGGGACACCGAGGTGGCCTTCGGTGGCGCCGTGGAGCTCCTGCTGGAGCTCTTGGGCCCGTCCGTCGGCCGCTGAGATGCAGCATCAACAATTTGTTTGTTATTGAAGACGACAACAACATTTGTTTGCAAGACCTTCGCCGCTCGGAAGCGGGATCGCCCCAAACAAGAAGAAACTCATCAACGGTCAGAATATTTGTGTGTAATAAGCACCCCAAAATATGGTCCTAAATCCATCGCCTCCCAACCCTTGGGAGTTCGACCTCCCATCGGTTGGGGATTTCTTGTTGACCCGGATGTTATGGACTGAGAGGTGTAGACCATGAAAAGCGGGGTTTCACTTCAGTTTTCAATTGAGTAGCTTATCATTCGCTCCATGGAAGCTCGCTCACGGTTTTCATTGGACTTTCGGGTCTGTGCCGATCCCTGTTCTGGTCCAAACAGGAGACCGCGTGTCCGGAGACCCGGTGTCCGCCACCAGGGAGAAGGACCGGTTAAAGCGTTTGCGGGGGTTCTGGGGGTTCCATCAAACACTCTTTGTGGGATACTTGCAGAACTTCTTGACCCCCGGCGTTGTCCAGTGTGAACTGTGAGCGAACGCAGCAGCTGTGACGAAGCTAGCGAACGCAGCGCACGGAACGGTCAACGACCGTCGCCCGGCCGCCCGGGCACAGAAGACGACGAGCGGTCGACAGCCGAAACTCGGCGGTCGACCGCGGTCGACCCCTCGCCAGGTCGAGGGGAAGTGGGATCCAACACCAAAGCCTTTGGACATTTCTGCTACCAAAGCTGAGTTAGTGATGGAATGAAAGTTCCAATGCTTCTTGTTTGCCTGACCAATTGCTAACCCATTCTGCACAATTTTCCCAACCCAGCAACAAACATGGAGAACAAGACAGCTTCCGAGACTGCCCTGCTCAGCTTTTGGGACCTCCTTGGACGGCTCTTCACCATCAGTGCTTGAGCTGAGCTAGGCACGAGTTCATCTACACGAGAGCTGCTCGCGGTGCATCTCTGGCGCACGAGCAATGCGGTGGTCGCAAGCTCCGCGCCGGTGGTCTTTGCGGTGGTGGATTTGCTGTTGGCAGGCGACCGGGATCTCCGGAGTGTGGAGTGGTCGACGGTTAGAGGATTGGCAGGCGATGTTTCCGAGACCGGAGGATGGACGGACCCAACGTGGACAGATTGATGATGGACTGCCGCAAGGTGTTCCTTCCATCAGTGCACCTAAAGGCCGGGGATCCGCACCCGGCCCAGCCTCAGCAAAGCAAAGAGACGCTACGCATGTTTTGCAGGACTGCCAACGTGTGACACACGTTCCGCGTCCGCGCGCGTTGGCGCTCCGCAGGCGAGGGGTCAGAGGAGGTCGCCCGGCAGTGGCTGAAGGGCTGGGCCTCTGGGCCACGCTCGGATGCCCACTTCGAGCGTGCGCTGGGCTGGCGGATCGCGCGGGCGCTGGTGCGGGCGCCGATGCAGGTGGGGATGGGATGGGGAGATACTAAAGGGATGATAGTTGGCTCATGGTGGAGAAGATTGGAGATATTGGAGGAGTCCATGCGGACAAAATATATTGATTGATGACTCACCTAAAAGATCTTAAAAGATTTGGCTCAGTTTTCAGGGTTTGGAAACTCTGGGCATGTTTCCATCCCGCAGTGCTGGGGGTGCCACACTCTGCCAAACCGACATGATTTTCCAAAACTGGACTTTCAGAGGGAATTCTGGCGAAGTCTATTTTCGGCAAGAGATTTGTCACACCTGTGAAGTTGTTCCCAGTGTGGTTCACATCGACTCTTTGCCGAACCGAGACCCGAGGACTGGGGGCTGCTTCTGCAAGGACCGAAAGCCGCGCGATGGTCGATTTTGAAGATCCCCTAACCGAAACCCAGGGGTTTGAATCATGGTTGCTTTTGCCAAGCAATCTAATTATCAACCAATGGGATTTGGTATGTTTGAGAATGTTTGAGATGGTTCTAAGTTCTAAGTCGATATTTGCTATTTGCTTTGCCCGGTCAAAGCTGGGGGTCTCCCCAGTGGGTCTCCCTATTGTCAGCTCACTCATTTATTGCCTCTAAGAAGGAGGCCTGTGTTTGGACCACCCAGAGCCTCAGAGCCGTTACAAATGGGCGGACCTTTTTGGTGGTTGCCACGTTTATTTTTTTCCAGCACTGCGATCCAACGCTTTCAGAACATCCTGCAGTAAAAGGTCGACTCTTGATTATATTTCAACTCCCCATATGAAGCGTTTTTTTGCAATCCACACGCAGCGTACTATTCATCAAGGGTCTATATTAGCCTGCTTTTGGCGCTAGTTTTGAAGCATCCAATGTCTTACGACTTGTTCCTGGAAATGGGCGCGGTCAAAGGCAACTCTGATGAATCTGTGTTTTCCAAGTTGATTCCTTTATGCTTGATTAGACTCAAACCTTAAATCAGAGCTTTGGGTATCTTTGGGTCATGCAAATCGCATTTTTCAGAGAGACAACCACACTACCTGGACCACAACTTTTCCCAAACAATTTGCGGCGCACCATAGAACAAGACCAGAAAACCTGAGATCAGGGATGATCTAGGTATAGCCTTCGAAGTAGCTCGCTGGCTCGCCGCTTTGCCACTCTTTCCGGCCTTCGATGTGTAGTCTTTCCCACACCCCTTCGATCCCTTCCCAGCCACTCAGCACGAGCGTTCGGAGCGTTCGGAGGCGTGCAGCATCGCTTGGCGGCCCAAGACACCTCCGTGCGGCTCGTGGGAATGGCCGTGGCGGAGATCATGGCGGAGATCTGGCGGTCGAAGGCGGGAACTCAAGAGCTCGTGCTCCGAGCTCTTGCTGCTGTTAGATGTTGTTAGGATGTTGACGGTTCGGGTTCAGAGACACTTTGAAGGTGGGCACTTTTGGGCGAACAAGGTTCTCCCAGTCCTGGGATAATCGGGTCTCCGGATCAGACGGTCTATGCTCTACTCACTCCGTCCAGGTCTATGAACTGAGGCACAACTCCCAAGGACAAATCATCGCAATTCCAAGCGGCGGTCTCTTTGTCAGCTATATAGAACTTGGGGGGAGAGAAAGAGAACTTTTGCAGCTCCATGCCACCATGGCAGCCAAATCTCCACGCCCAGGCCGCTCAGGACGAAAACCCACGCTCCAAAAGCCTGAAATCACCGAGTGTCGACGCTCCAGGACTCCTGACATCTCCCAAAACACCTCAAAGAACGACCTCCCCTGGCTGCCCCTCGCCTCCTTTCCACCAAAGCACCTCGACTTCCAGGGTCTTTTCCGGGGAGACAAGCTCTCAGGAGACCGAGGACGAGCTCCGCTTCGATCACTTCGACCGGTGCCTGGGCGGCCATTCGGACCCAAAGCACGAACTGATGAAGTTCATGTTCGCAATCCGAACATGATACAACTCATCCAAGGAGGACTTGATTTGGTTTGGCCATGCACCTGCGATGGTTTCAGAACTCATCCTAATTGATTAATTGGAACAAATTTTCGCATGGCAAAGAAGCCAGACTCATCCAGACTCTAAAACGATGTTATGCCAAGCACCGGAGCAAAGAGTTATATAACAAGTCTAGGCAAACATTACTCCATTGAGGTCATGTTTTCTTTGTTTTTGCACCTGGTTTTTCTCGTTTTGAGAAGGGGAACACTCCGGAACCAGCAGTTGCTGGTTGAGCATTCTGGAAAGTCTCGGTGTTGTCACCCAACGACGGGAACGATGCCGACAGGAACGATGCTTCGGTCACTTGACGGCGCTTGATTGGGGCACAATGAGGGCATGGCGCCGGAGGGTGTGCTGTGTCTAGCAAGCGAAGCAAGCACGTTGGTAGGCCATGGACAAGGACAACTGCCTTCCTTTGCACTCTCTCTTCCTGTGGTGTTCACATTTTCTGGAATTGGAGTGAACACCAGCCAAGTGGGTTTGGAGAAATGCTCTTCATGGAGGGTTTTGGGTTGCTCACTTCGCCCTCCAATCGATCAAAGTCGACGACTTCCATCCTTGGTGCTTAAAATCCATGTTTTCCGCAGGGCCGTGGGGCAAATCAGGTTCCGAGTCTGAAATGTCATGACCTCTCAGGTGGGTTTGTCTAGTGGCACAACCTGTACTGCAAGGATGCTGAAGATCCACATATCAAAAGAGGACTTCAAATTGGATGAAACATGATGGAACATGGTGGTTCCCCATTGTGTCCTCTCACATCGTGGCGGAAGGTCTGGCCGGTGGCCGGTGGCCGTAGGCGCTTTCGCTTTCGACTGCCGCTAGGTGGCAGCCTTTCAGCTGGTGAAGCAAGACTTCCAGGCGGTGGTGGGGAAAGGGTGCCAGGAACGTAGGGTTTGGTGGGAAAGCCTTCCCATTCAGGTTCCGGGAGGCCAGGCCAGGCCGTCCAGCGGGGCGGGAGAGGTTGGTCAACCGTCCAAGACCGGTTTGGGGCAGGAGCTGATAGCTTCCGCAGGGTTTTGGCATGACAGGGATGGGAAAGTGTTCATGAGCACCCGCAGGATTGAAAGAGTGCCCACGAGTATTTGTGAGCTGGAAGAGTATCAGCCTTATGCAAGAGACTACGAACAACAAGTCTGCAAGATAGGCCAGAGGAACTAGGAACATTTGTATGGTGGCGTTTGTAAGTTTGTTAAATGGGTCATGCCTGCTCAGCTCATCGCTTATTGACTCACCTAGCAACTGTGTGTGTGTCTCAGATCCAAACTTCAGTCCTTTCTTCAGTCCTTTCCTGTTCTCTGGAAAACTGGCCATAGCTACCTTCAGTTGGTTCCTGCCCTTGGACTTGGGTTTCATGTCAAGAGACTGAGACTTGCTTTGATGCGGGAACTGAGAGCAAGAAATTGAAGGTGACCTGTGTGCAATCGCTTACGCGTCCGCTTCCCCAGTTGCTTGCCTTTAGGCTTTTAAGGCTTTGATGAGGCAGGTAGGGGCAACAGATGCTGAGAAAAAGCACCAGCAGCAGTTGGCAGAGCCAAAGGCAACGGTGTTCGTGAAGCATTGTGGCGTTATTTATTGCAAGCATTTGGCGCTCCAGGTGTTTCCCTGCAAGGGGCGTGCCCCCAAGCATCAAGCCCACATGGACGGGCGATCAATCTCAATGACAGGCGAGCCGTTTTATGCGATTCGTGACACCTGAGAAAGTTTCGCCTAATAGAGAGGCAAGCGACAAGGTGTGAAGCAGCAAAGTCAAGGGCGGATGAGCAGAAGGCGAAGAAGCAGTGTGAAAGGTTCTTGGGGCTGCGCAAAGCAAATTGGAGGCTTTCCAACAGACAGAGGCTGCCCAGGTAGGGCGCTCTTTGGCGCTCCGGGGCTATCTTCAAAGGAGCCAGTCAAGTGACAGCTGCAACTTTCATTGGGTGTAGGCTGTGGAGACTTGTACCAGGCGGTGGAGACTAGGCTGTGCGTTCCGCTGCCACGTCCATCCGGCTTTCTCAGCGCCCTCAGTCAGCTATCCACAACACGCCGTGGCAAAACTGCTCAGAGACGTAAGAAAGAAGGGACCTGGCGTTGTGCATGGGTGATTTTTGAGTTTTTCAGATTGGTCTCAGGATCTCAATTTGTTGTTAGTGATGGGATTTTGAGGCTACTTCAACTTCTAAAGGCATCACCAACAACAGAAGTTCTGATGGTTTTGGTGATCACTTGTTGATGGTACTGATTCTACTTCGTTTGGGCGTGCTGTTCGAAATCCCTCATGCCGCTCCTCCTCGGCCCTTCCAGACCGCTGCTCTGCCACCGCCGGACCTGCCGGCGGATGAACTACCGTCACCAGCGGCTCAGCAGTTGCGCCCGGGGGCTTGGATCACTTCACCCATGTATCAGTGTTTTGTGGTCATACACAGAGATCACAGGAGCTTGCCTGTCATCATGTGTCATCCTTCTTTTTGTATATATGACGACAAGACATGGCACATGTTTTTTCTGAATCGTTTGGTCAGTGCTGGAGCCAGAACTATTGACACTCTTCACACGCACATACACTCTTCACATTGACACTTCGCATAGCTGTATCACTGACGGGGAAGGAACCTCATTTCTTGTGAACTTCCAGGTGCACTGCTGGCCTTGGGAGGAGGCCAGCACTTCTGTCGGGACTGCCAAAATCAATGCAGCATTGTGGTCATGGGGATGGGGACACTTCCCAAACTGCTAAATACTTACAAACATACGAGCCACAGTCAAAATCATAGCGGTCAGGTTTTATATAACATTGATTAACATTGATCATTTTTGGTGGGATCTTGCAGAATCTTGCACATTCCTTGGAAAACGAAGCCGGAAACCAAAAACGAAGCCTCTTGGTGGGATGTTTACATGTGTATCCTCTTGGAGTGCATGAAATGTGGTGTCTCAAACGAAGCCAAAACGAAGCCCCAAACGAAGCCAAAATCCACCAAAAAGTGTCCTTTGTAGACCCTGTCCCCAATTTGTTCAATTTTGCCGGTCGCTCATACATCGAACACTGCATTGGGACCGTTGAAATAAGCAATCCACGGCAATCCATGGCAATTTGCGTTGAACATACATGTTTGTCAATCCATGGTGTGCTCTTGTGACGTGACCGTTCATATTCCCTCGACTGGTCGATTGCGAGCCAGTATCCAAGGGGTCACCAGCGGATCTGGACCTATATATTACTATAGCCTCATTGTGAAACAAAGGAAGCACGTCCTGCAAAGCGAAATCCTTGTCCTTGTTGGAACTGTGGCTTACTCTTGGATCTTTGTTGTGTGCTAGTGCTGGTTGGGCCAAAGCAATCAATGAAGCTGCAGGCCGTGTCGGTGACGTCGGTGGCTCAGCGGTGCCGTTGGGTCAGGATGACAAGGACGACGTGTTGACGTCGCACGCGATGGCAGTGAACGTAGCTGCTCATTTGTCGCAGTGAGCGGGAGCACCAAAGACCCCTGGGAGCACTGAATATCTCAGAGTATGACCAAACAAAAAAAAACCTTACGACTTACGACCCCTTACGGTCGCAGGGTCTCCCTGTTGATCCACATGCATTGACCAATTCTCACACTGACCTAAGTGAAGGACACCCATCCCTCGGAACATCGCCGGGTAGAGAGGTGATACCAACAACTGCTTTAATTGGGTCCTGTGCCAAGGCTGGGTGGCAGAACTGCTTCATGTGATGGTGGGCTCCGTGATTGGTGGGCTAGAACTGCTCCACACAACCACTTTGGATCACTTTTGTATTGGGAAGGTTTCCCTACCTTTGGGTGATGAAACATCACCCAGAGGCACTCCGTACCATGTTTTCCCGCCCTCTTGGTAAGCTAAAAAGGACCCTTGTGGTCCAGCCACTGGAACTTTATTTCTTGAACAATTAGTGTCTTGGGCCTGGGTGGCAGTGCGTTGGGTTGTCAACAGAGCAGGAGCAAAGCTTCCAGAGACCAGGGTGGCAGCTTGCTCTTCATCCACCGAATTGGACTGGTCAACCCGCTGGCACCGGCACCTGACGTGTTTGCTGTGTGTTCGCTCCGCAGGAGGTCGAAGTCCAACCGAAGGAGCGGCAGGAGCGAGCTCCTGAGAGGCGGACAGTGGAGGCGGACAGTGATGATGAAGAGGAGGATCATCCTCTCCGTGTCTTGGAGGCAAGGCGACTAATTCAGCTTCTGTCGACCTGAACACCAAGAGCAGAAAACATCTTCTTCTGTTAGGATCGCGCCCCCCAAAAAACATCCGCTGTTGGAGGATTCCTGGCTTCCGGAGCTCGTTTCCGGAGGCCGGCAACACCTGGCTGGTATGGACAGCTTCGCCTTCGGAGGGTGCTGATCGTATGCTCTTCGATGTTTCGGCGTTTCGGTCGTGTTCAGGTCGTTTCGGTCCATTTTGGTACGGACTTTCATCATACATCCTTCATTTGAGGCTTTGTTGGAAAACAATGTAGGATCTCCTACAAAGACAATATCCACTATTTGATACAGAATATCACAGTCCTGGGACCCTTCCTAATGTACGGAGCCTGTTTGCGATGAGGGAACGATTGCTGAAGCTCTGATTGCGTTCCACTCTGACCAACTGGAAGTGGCCTGGCCCCGTGAGGAAGATCATATTCCCAAACACTCCATGGGACTGCCGTATTTGCCGATCAGTTGGGGTGGTTTGGGGGGTTCAATGTAGGCATATATGGCATACATGGAGCGTTTGGGATCGGTTTTCCGGTTTTCCATGTCCATGTGTTTTAGTGCCTTCTTCATCGGCCCAGGTGGCTTGGCGCCACTGACGCCTCTGGCACCGAGTGCGCCCGAGGAGTGCGCGGACCTGCTGCTGGTGCAGTGGCTTGGTCCATGGTAAGATGGGATCCGTCCGAGTTCATTGTTCCATGCTGTTGGAATGCTCATCCTTTTTCCACTTGGAATTCATTTGGTCTCCACTTTGGCAGATGGGTGTGGCTAGTGACACAGGCCGCCAGATCGAAGCGCAGATCGAAGCGTCTCGGACGAATGCGGAATCCGATCCGGACGGGTTGCATGTCCTGACGGGTGCGAACCGTGAGGAACAATACGCTCGGTTGAAGGTCGGAAGTGCGAGGTTGAAGCAAGGACGGTATGTTGAAGGACTGCGTGGCATGTGTAGATCATACCTGAAAGTGTACCACCCATGGTGTGGTTTTGGACTTGATGGGCTCTGAGCCACAAACCGAACTGGTTGTGGACTGGGCAATTGCCCGTCGCCGCCAAATATCCTTGCCTCTCGCGTCAGTTTGGTCGATGAAACAGATTCATTCTGGTTCGTCTAAACACATTGCACTCACTGAACGAATCATGGGCCAACGAATCATGGGCATGGTCCCGAAAGGATGACCATTTCCTCTACCAAGATGTCTTCCCTCCATGTGAGTGACAGTAACTCGGCGTGCAATTCTTTCCCGTCCGAGACCTCCAAGCTCCACAGATCCACCACAGAAATGGCTCGGACCGACTTGAGGCCGCCGCTCTTCTTGCGCGCGGCCTACGAAATGTTGCTGGGGTGCCCGGAGACTCTGGAGAATGGGAGCGCATGAGAGGTTGAGAGACCTGAACGGTCAGACCCTGGTCTGTGGTACAAATGGGATGGGCGACAAGAAGGGCTGTTCAACCTCTTTTGGAGGGCATGAGTGACACTGGGCCGACTGGAGGTCCTTAAGCCTTAGGGTAGGATGCCCACTCGCACTGCTGGGTCACTGCTCCTTTGTAGGGGTGGTCAAGTACTGGCATCTCTACTGCACTTAGGGACCTCTTCTTGCACATCAGCAACAGCAACAGCTGATCCCCACCGTGACATTTAGAACAACTGCACTGTGTCCACCCGGAGTCCAGCTCAGCACTTTTTTCATCTCAATTGTGGCTGTCATGCTGAACTCAGCTTCTCCATCGAGCCTATCACAACCGAAAGAAAGCTTGTCGGATTTTGATTTACGCGTTTGCTCTGCAAAGACGTCAGCTGACCACCTCCAGTGGCTTGTCTTCAAACAGGCACAAACATGTGAGCAGACCGAGTTCTGCGACAATGGTCGCAACATAAACAGGTGCAAAACATGTCAACTAAGCAGTACTGAGTACTGAAAAGCACACCACCAACCCTCTTGCTTGATGGTGACACAGGGCCCCGCACAAGGTGCTTTGGCCACATGCATGGCGGCTGACCACCTGAAAAGGGTGGGTGTCTCAACGAAACATCGCAAACATGGCACAAACGTGTCAGGAACTCCAGTGGCTTGTCTTCAAACAGGCACAAAGTGGCACAAACATGCCAGCCAAACCTTCTGATGGTTGGTGAACGCCGACACACTTCATGCAAGGCGGTTTGCAGCCCCCCAAACCACTCAATCTACTTACTGATGCCATGCCGTATGTAGGAATTTGCCCCGTTTATGTGCATGTTGTCACAAGTGCAAAACAAACTCAGTTCACCAAAGCTTGCACAAGATCAAAACTTCTTGCAAAGCATATCCCTTTTCACCGCAGAACTAGTCTGTCAGATCCTCGTAGACTGGCGAGGATTGTAGCTCCTCCAATGTATAGAGGCTGCTTGGCTTCCAACTTGCCAGGCAATTGTCGCAAATTTACAGGTGGCCCCTTCAACCTCATCCTGTCAACACGACGTAGATTGCCAACAACCGCTTAGCGTCCTCTAATCCTGCCAAAACATTGTATCAATGCGCATGTCAGGCAGCGTTAGTCAGGATATCTATAGTCTTTCAAAAACATGTCCCATATCGCCTCTCAGGTGCTTTGCCTTCTTCCGAACGTGATTTGTCATGCGGAGATTGGCTCGCAGCAACACGGCGGTCTGACATGTGACAGTACTCTTTGCACCGTTGAATACATGTCAGAAACTATATAGGTCAGGTCAGTTCATTCGAACATGGTGCTCGTGTGGTGATTGGCTTACGCAGCACGTGCAGTTGCAGGTGTTACAGTTGCTTTGCGCGGACTGGGTACAGCGGACGTGGGGCAGTGCGAGCGAGACCGGACAGCATGCGTCGAGTCAACGAGCCGAACACGGACAAATCAGCTGGAAACTTCATGACGTGCACATGTCTGCAAGCAGTCAAGGCAGTTGATGTGTTGTTTGCTTTTGGTAACATATGTGTGGCAGGTATAGGCTGCTTTGTGCGGTGCAGGTCCACAGGGCAGGATGGTAAGATGGATGACTCTCGTGCACAATGCTCTGAAGCAGCGAACACGAGCAAGCCTTCCCGCGCCCTGGTGGGTTATATCGATGTGTTTCTTTGCATGCTTTTTGGTACTGCCTGGTTGCGCGTCCGATGGAACAGCATCAAGACTACGAAAGCGTGTGTCATTTGATTGGATGACAAGCCACATACTCGAACACAATGCGAACACATCTTAGCACATGTGGTAGTGGCATCGTCAACTACATGCCCGTCTTCAAACCAATACCATGTTCGAAACTGCTTTCAGTCAAGCACTTTGTGCTCGGGCGGTCTGAGTCTGGGTGCCATGGCGAAGCATTTATGGCCTTTTGGAGTGTGACAAGTTGGGGGGATACAGTGCACAAGGCCTGACCCTAAATGGAGTCGACTTGCGACGCAGCAGCATCAAGTCTGGTATGTTTTCTGATACCTCGTCTATCCTGAGGGCTGGGCTGGGAAATGTTCTAGAGCGTGTTCCGACGTCCTTGTTGGCATGTGCCACACAGCCCGACTTCGGTTCTGATATGTGTTTTGACATGTGTTCTGCCATGAATTCCGACATATTCCGACCTTTGTTCTGCCATCAAATCTGCAACTTCTTCCGACATATGCTCTGACATAGTTCATCTTCTGGTACTCTATCTGGCATATCTGTATAGCTTCTGCTCTCTATGGTAAGCAGGTCCGTGCGTGCCAAGACCGGGCTCAAGCAGCCAGACTGGCCCCTGCGTGCCCGGCTGAAGCTCTCTCGCAGGTCCGTGCGGAGCTCCCTATGGCGCACAGGTCCGTGTGTGCTATGGAGCGCGGGTCCGTGGTTGCACGGACTGAGGTGGCGGTCTCTTTCGCATTTTGCATCATTTTGTGATGGGACCGAGGAGTGTTAAAATCTAAAGACCATCACCTGGCTGGTGGGAAAGAGGCATCCGCCTGGACCCACCCACCTATTATCCCCCATCCCCCGTGGATCCAAGATTACACCATCAAAGGAGCCACATCATTTTTTGTGTTTGACATCACTTGTTGCTTGTGGCTGCAACAGCTGGCCCCACATGAAGTTCCACTTAAATCAAACAAGTACCGCAAAAAGGGGAGACCTTCCACCTTCTCCGCCGCTTCGCTCAGGTTGGGACCGGCCAAAGCACCCCAGACACCCTTGTCCGCGGAGGCGCACTGATGGTGGAGCTGGGCCATTGGGCTCATGCCGGACTGATGGGGAATTTCATGGAAGCGAGCCGTCTACTTGGCGACCTTGGATTGATGGTTTCATGCGTTTCATGTTGTTTGATCCAAAAGAGGAAAAACGTCACAGCTGCTTGTGGAGTTGGGGCTGTAACATTGGGCAGTTCAATAGGCCACCCGACCCCCAAGAAACATTTCAAGTTTCAACCAGCGTTATCACACCAAAAAGTAACAGCTAGCATGATCTTCCAAGTGCCAACGTGGCCGCTGGTTTCTGAAACAGACTGATTCGTTGATAGATTTTTTCCTGCTTATGCATACTTGTACAAACACATATACACATGTGTAACGCACATTTGTATTTATACTTGGTTGTTTTAGAACCGTTTCTTTGTGAATGGTGGCTCTTCTTCACCCATTGCCTGCCCCCCCAAAAAAGAACCGCGAGGCCTATGGCAAGCCGGGCGCGGCGCCCGAACCGCTAGCGACCGCGCGGGCGCGCGTGTCCACGGCCCTGGCCGGCCTTCCGAAGCTCATCGCCGATGCGGACGCGTCAGAGCTCCCGAGGTGGCGAGTCGCCCCGGTCTATGGTGGGATGAGGGCGAGGGTGGTGATGGTGTGGGGGTTCAAATCCTCAGGATTCCACTCAAAAGGTGTAACATGGTGAACAAATCGGAATTCCCCTAACCCTCCTTAAAATCTCTACAAAAGATCGAGATCCGATTTGATTGAGATCTGAGAAGTGTAGTTCGGAGTTTGACTTTTTGCTGAACAAAGGTTCGTCGTCCTAGTCCTTGCAATATTCACTGATCAGGACTCCGAGCTTCCAGTTTTCGAATGTTGCAGTTGCAGCAGCCACATGAAGATGTGTGGATGAAGAGAAACCCTCGAACCGGTCTCCTGCAACTGAAGGTGTGATTCACATGAATTCATAATTTTGTCGGGGTAATCAATAAATATAAATATAATCAATAGCTGTGAGCCTGAAATGTGAACACCATCAGACTGTCAGATGGGTGATGTCAGACCCCTTCAATCCGAGTCGTTTTCCGGTTTCATCAGTGGGGAATCCCTCGCCAGGCTAGCGGCGCCTCTGTGTGCGCGGCTGCTTCGCTTGGAGGCGAAGAGCGATTTTTCCACACGGCCACCGTGAATAAGTTTTTCTAATGGTGGCCATTTGTGGCAGGGTTAGGTTCCCAGACGGGAGGCGTTGGGGTCAAAACCTGCTCCGCTTTTTGCATGGCAGTGATGGCCCATCGCATGCTATATTTGGCTGCGCGCCAAATCTCGATCATTCTACCATGGCCTTCTTTGCCCATTTTTGTATCGCGCAGTGTCAGATTTCGTCCAGCCAGCCCTCCCACGGACTGCATGTTTTGCCTTTGAACAGGCTGTGGGCTCGGATTTGGACAACCTTGCAGATCTAAAGCTCAAGGCTGGGTCTGCCGGTGGGTGGATTGAACGGGTCACGGACATTTTGAGTCTTGGGAAGTAGTTGATAGCTCAGACAGCCAAAATCTTAGATTTTTAAAGCTTTTCGGAGGGTATCAACGATGGCCAGGGGTGCTTTCGGGACCACCAAGACCGAGGTAGCTGATGTTCGCCTTTTTAACGACCCAACCTCCCCAAAACTGCGCTCGAACAGCTGTAGAATGTGTGTAAAATTGTGTAAAAATAACATTATTGGTGGCAGACATCCTAGTTGCTGCATCATAAATTCCCAGTTTGTTGATGCACACTCCATAGAAGTGGCCCCTTTCGGAAAGAAACAACCGATGAGAATCGTTGACCTCGGGAGCGATGGTCTACTTCCCGAATCGAATCCGTGCACCTCACAGGTGAACGGAGAACCGTTCAAGTCTTAAGAGCGATGGCCTCCAACCTAAGAGCGATGGCCTCCAACCTACTATCGAATTCTACTACCTGGCACCTCAACAGGACTTTGCAGCTTTTCGCTCATTTGGGAAGTCCCACAAGATGATGGCGTAGGGGCCAAACTGCAGCAGATAGCGACCACACCGTGACTACAGGGCTACAAAGGGTGGTGCGACACGCCTTTTTCCTGGAAAGCCACAAGATAGCAAAGAGGCCCCCTCAAAAAATATGTTTTCTTATTTTGTTTTGTGCCTCCATGCTTCTTCTCTGAGGGTGCATGCCTTTCTAGAATGCGGTTACTGGTATGTCTACGAATGTTGTTAACATTTGTGGGCATATATTGGTACTTCAAGACATGGATCAGGTTCCATACATGAGAACAAACTGATAGGCCAGTGACTAGGCACGGATGTACCACTGATTTGCTGACCAATCTGATCGAAAAACGCATATGTTGTGGCAAAGTCGAGGTCTTGGTGAGCTTGTTGGTTGCGGATGGGAGCAGAAGGCCTGCAGTGCAGAACCTCATCAACGAGTTCGGCAAGGAGGAGCACCTCAACCCACTCATTCTTCAAGACTGGATCTTGCAGAAGAGGATTTCTATGACATGAAAGCATAAGAAGATAATAATTAAGAGGGTTCAGCGGAATCTGAAGCCTGTGATTATGCTGAATATACTGCTATGTACAATGTTTTATGCATATTACCAAGGGAATTTTACATCACCAGGAGCATTCAGGCATACTGACCGGCGCGCCTTACACTACATGGCAGCATTTAGGCCGGCGCTTGGCACCAAAATCTGGAGCTTTAGGCCCATTTTCCTTTGCATGTTGCACCAATATTTTGTCCTCCGGGCAGGCGCCTTGCACCAAAATGTTGCCCTCCAGGCGACCGCCTCTGGCAGGCACCTTGCACCAAAATTTTGACCTCCGGGCGGGCGCCTTGCACCATTATTTGGGTGGTCTGGACCTGGATCTGAAAAAGTAGGGTTAAGCCTACCAACAGCTTTTCAAGTATAAGTATTATATGCCGCTTGATCCCCATTGTTCACAATTTTGGAAATATTCCGTAGGATTCCGTAAGAATGTTACCAAATGCAACGAACATGCAAAAAATAAGTGAGAATAACATGTGTGAACACGCAACACACTGATGTTGTCCTTCCCCAGGAGGCATAACACCTGCCAACAAAACTAAGTGCAACGAGCCCGTTCCTAAATTCCATGGGAGGCTCTTGAACACCAGGCAACAGTATCGATGGACAACGGAAAAACTAACCTAATCGAACCTATGAAACATAAATCACACACACACACATGGAGACAGAATAAAGTAGTGGTATCTGAAAATTACCAAACAGGTAACAGGGCCTATCCACTATCCACAGTAGCCCATTTGGTATGGGGGATACCTCAAACTTTGCTGTTCCCCATGGGCATGTTACTTCCAAAATGAGCAAGTTGACCCATGTTACCCCGGTGGCCCATAGCTATTCTGAATCCACCGTGGATGATGTTGGCATGTCACAGAAATAACTCCCCAAAAAACATTGTCCACACCGATGCATGTGCATTTGCCGCCCACTTCAAACATGTGCAACATGCTTCAGAAAGTGCAAATCTGGCATCACCCGTGCATACCCCCCATTGGAAAAGGCAAAAGCAATCCACAACAAAAGTTCAAGTATTCAAAAAGCAATCGCAATACCAAAAACACAAAACACAACCAAAAGCAAACCTCACATTCAAAACACCCAACAAAACACAAACACCAATATTCTGAGACTCTTTGCTGTCACCCCCCCTCAAAAACTTCTGGAATATTGTTATTTTGCTTTATTTTGTTGTCAATGTTTTTTGTTTTATATTCTGGGAAGGCCACTCATGACTCTTTGAAGCTGGCTTTCTTTTGAATGTAAGGCTGGGCTTGCACTCCATGGGGAGCTCTAGCCCCAGGTTTGGGATTCGACCTCAAGCCTAAGTCTTGGAAGTCTGCATTCTTATTCCCTATATCCCTATTCCTATAGATTTTCTTTTGAATTCTTTTTGCTTCTTGTTGATTCCCTTTTCAACACCTTTTCATTTCAAATGATTTCATTTTAACATCCTTTTGATTTCGAGTTTTTTCTTGTAGATTCCTGTGGAATTGCTTTGGTTCTTGTTGATTCCCTTTTCTATTTTGTATCTCTAATGACTCTAAAGACTCTAAAGATATCCTTTTGAATTCCTGTTGAATTCCAGTTGGTTTCCCTTTCAATTCCTTGTACTTCATTTCGATTTATTTTGAATTCCTTTCAAGTTCCTTGTGATTCCAAATGAGTTTCTTTAAAGCTCCTTTTGATTCTTGTTGATTCCTTTTGAACAATATGTTTATTGAGTTTACAAGATATCCTTGTAAATTCCTTTTGAATCCAAGTGATTGTCAACTAAATTCCTTTTGATTCTTGTTGATTCCCTTCAAAGACCTCAGGGTTGCAAAATGGTTTCCTTTTATATAAATTCCTCTTACTGTAACTCCTGTTGAATTCGTTTTGGGTTCCTTTCAACTCATTAGTTTCTCTTACAGTATCTAGTTAATCTATTTCAACCACCTTATTGCAAACAGCTATTACACAAGGAGGTAGCCCAGCACGCTTGAAACCTTGAGTACGTAGCGTATTATAACCCCGTACAACAATGGTGGCCCCTCTTGACTTGAATAATGACACCTCCTGTCTACGCTTTTCCATGTTTATACACTGTTACCGTTACCTCCTCAAATATGGTTTGCACTTTATATGTTTCATTTTTTGGATTCACTGTTTCAGTTCCTAAGTATCAATTTGCTTTTAAGTTCCTTTTGGTTCCAATTGATTTAAAACAAGAATGTGCATTTTACTATGTGTCGGAGCCTATTACATACATAAGACACTATAAATTATAACATACGACGTTTTTCAGCATCCGAAAAGGCTAATTTTACATCACTACCAGCACCCGCTCTCTCTATCTAGCAGAGCATTGCTGCACGAAACATGCTCCATCCATGGCATTTTTCAAGAGAAGGATTCGTAGAATTAGCCAGTGAAAAGAGTTGACACATGTAAAGATTGTGGATTAAGTGAGGATCTGGATGAAGCGAGGATAAAACACGGATTAAAACTGTTTAAATATGCCTCCATGAGCTTTCAGGATGTTGCAGTCAAATGCAGCACTTTTGCAGAGGACGCCGATATATAGAATCCACCCGAAACGAACCACCCAAAACGAAACACGTCCAAAGCAAAGTTAAAGGGTTGAATGTTGCGTAGGATCTCTCCCTCGCCACGCGGAACAGCATCCTGGAAGCGCTGGCCACTGCCTCACGAGAGCTTGCTGGTGCCCAGGCACGTGCGGTGAAAGGGGAAAAGGTCCCAGAACTTGGGTTTAGGATGGTTTGGGGTCCAAATTCAGAGCCACAGGAGACCAACTCAGGTCCGCTTGACCGTTCTTGCTTGGAGTCTCCTGGGAACCTATCGGCACTAGAGATCTACATGCGAAGCCCAGGGGTATGGGGGCCCGCCGAGTGACTCTCCTCACGCATTTTTTGCGCCATGTTTTTCATCCAAGATGCTTAAACCGGCTGTTGGACTTTAGGTCCTGTTCCTCCAATTGAATTGCCAGTCAAAGCGTCGACCTCTGAAGCCACTTCTTTCAATCTGGCAGGTCGAACCTGAAGCTCCAATCCCTTTAGATCAGTGCATCAGCAGGACAAACCTCTTAAGTCTTAAGTCTACAGGAAGCTTCAGCTCACCCGAGCCGAAGGAGCTCAGCAGTTGCTGTCGTAATCGCGCCAAATATTTTTCAACACCTCTCACCCAGAAGCATCCCGGAAAGCAATGCAAGCATGGACAACCAGAGATTGGTGAGTGGAACGCGGTTTGGGGACCTGCATCCAGACACGATCGGAGCGCAGCCGGAACAGAAGGAGCGAGAAAATGTCGAAGAGTTGCAGTTCAAGGTACCGGTCCAAACGCGTTTGATTGTAGGCTCGTTTGCTCGTTTGATTGTCCACACTCATAGCCCAAGAGTAGTTGGAAGTTGTTTGAAGATTTTAGAAGCTTGGGGGGGTTGTTGAAGAACCTCTAGGTGGCGACCTATGTGGCACGAATGGAGATATTAACGCCTGAAGCCCTGAGAGTCACCTGTGCACATCAAGCCTTGCGGTGCTGTGGACGAGCATTGCGACCCCTCGATGACGACCTCTTCGGAGAGAGTGTTGTGAGTGAGACGATCTCCTGCTTTTGGTCGCATTCGTGGCATGGTCGCCACTGGATGAAGAGCTTTTCATTGATGATGCGCTACAATGGTCTGTCATCAGTTCTTCTTGGCTCTTTCAGTGCTTTGGTCATGACGGTCTTCTTCAGTTGCGGTGTGTTGCCTGGGATTCCTCGTGGCTTTGGTGAGACCTATCGGGAGCATTGGTCGGCCTGGTCGCTGCCAGCTGGCTTCGTCACTGCGGCGATCACATTTGTCTTGTGGCGACCCAAGCAGCTGGTCTTTCTTGATCGGATTTGCATCAATGAACATGACACGGACCTCAAGTTAGCAAGCATTTATAGCTTGGCCGGCATCTTGAAGAAGTCAGATCAGATGCTAGTGCTCTGGGACTCGACGTGGAGTGACCGCTTGTGGTGTCTATTCGAGCTGGCCGCGTTTCTGAAAAGCAAAACGGTCCGTGAACAAGAACTGCTGATCACACCCACCTTCCTTGGGCCATGTTCAATTGCACTTTTTGTCGGTGTATTTATTGTGATGCTTCCTGTGACCACTGTTCCAATGCCAAGCATTGCAGGTGTGGGCGGTGTGGGTCCGTATTTTGTTCTAGTCCCCCTCTCAGGAGCGGTTCTTTTTTTGTTGGTCAGTGGTTATTTCATAGCAGCGGCCTTCCGGGCTTATTTCCGCTCGGTCCAGACCATGAAAACCAAGCTGCTCCAAATCAGCTGCGACCACGCCAAATGTGCTTGTTGCGATTTGAACCATGTATATGAGGGAGTCCGCATCATGTGCGACAGAGAAATCGTCAAGGAATGTATTTCGATTTGGTTTGGCAGTGAAGAGGCCTTTGAGGACTACGCACGGTCTGAAGTCTTAGAGAAGCTGCTTGGACGACTCCATGACCAGATCTTCACCAGACAGTGGAGCCTCTCTGTGTCAATCCCCCTTCTCTGGGCTTTCCTCGATTTGACGGTCTCTCATGCGAGGGCCAACAATACGTACGCCGCTGTCGCTCAGTTGGTGGAGGGTGTGGTGCTTTGGTTCCTTTGTGCACCGATCTTTACAGATTTGTGTACCTTCGTTGCGTGGAGGTCTTGTCGAAAGGCGACTTCCAAGATCAGGGAGATGTTGGAGAACTTGAAAGTGGAACTGGTGGGCGTTCTTTGCTTCAGCGTGATGGCTGGAAGTTGGTTCATCAGCCAGGCACCCTACTATCAGGATCGTCTCTATGGTGCTGCAGCCTTTGGAGGAGTGTGGAGCTTGGTGGCACTCTTTCATTACTTGTACAAAGTTTCGAGAAGGTCCTACCTTTCGCGGGGCTTCCGCGCTTGACAGGCTTCTTCAGGTTCTTCTAGTGCAAAAAGCGGCACGATTGGAGCGGTCGCGGTGTTCGGCTACGGGTGAACGGGGCTTTGGGGCACTCCGAGCGGCTTTCAGACTGTTCCTGAGTGTGATGGAACAACCCTAGCCTTCCAAGACCATGAATTATCGTAAACATGGTTGACCTGATATTTGGTGCAACATCCTTATTGGGTGAATAGCTGTTGAATTCCTAGGGTCAGCAATTGTCAAGGCATCGGGTGGAGGTCGGGATGCACAGCCTCAGAGATGCTTGACCGGGCCGCCCTGGGGCGAAAGATTTTAGCTGTTTTCGCGTGTAACCTTCACCCGCTTTTGGTGTTTTGTCGACAAGCCATGACTGGCTGTCTCCCAATGACTTCGAGTCAACGAGGGCACACAGAACGAAGAACCGGCGGCGACCTCTCTCCACGACTCGGTCGGTCTCCACGACTCGGTCCGACCGCTTCTCCAGGCGGAGAAAGGGTCGGCGCCCCATGAATCGGGTCGGGTCGCCTGGGTACATGGGGCTGGAGAATGGGCCCCTTCTTCCGGGCTGAGGGATCACAAGGTGATTGATTCTATATTGATACTATATACCATATACAGATACTATATAAGAATAATATAGTATTGATCGAGATGATTGAGGATAGACCGATCGACTGACGGGGCGGTTCTGAACCATCTTCTTCACGTTCCGCGAACTTGTCCTCATCGATGCTTGGATTGACAACCCCCAAAATGATCAAATATTCAAACAACTCATAACTCTCCTCGCATCGCCAGCAGTTCCAGGCGGATTTTTTGGTTCCCCCCGATCCTGATCTGAGCTTCTGGGCGTTTCCCCGCCGTTCCGCCACTCCGTTCGGGGCCTACCCCGACTGCAGGACGCGACGCGCGCGACGCGGTGGGCCAGAGCCGGCGCTTCGCCGCTGCCCGCCGCACGCGGGCGAACGCGGTGAACAGGCGACCGGGCGACCGAGCTGAGCGGGTGGGTCCTTGGACGCTCAAAGCGGAAGCAACGACATGCAAGGAACCGGGGTGCAGTTCCATGCAACATGGTTCAAAAAAAAAATCCCCAAAAACACAAAATCATGAAACACTGAAGCTTGCGGGAGGTGAAACTAACCTACCATCCAGGGTGCCAGGGTGCCTTTCCCAGGCCAAAACAACTGGGAAATCCTGCCTTTATTGGCCACTGAAGAGTCGGAATTCCACCGGACTCCTTGATGTAGGAAGGATTCACTTCAATCACAGAAGATTTCCCTCATCAACCCTCCACATGGAGTCGGGGTTGATAGCAGTTGAAAGGAGTTGGCAGTAGGTTAGGAGCAAGGACGCTACGAACGGGGCTCCTGGCATCGCTACTAGGAGCGATCGGACGCTACGAACGGGGCTGCTGGCCTTACTACTAGGAACAAGAAGCTATTAGAAACACGAATTCGATATATAGAATTAGAATTAAAATCAATCTAAACTTAATGTGATAAGGGAAGCTGTCGGGCCATTCGCGAAGCTGGCGGGCGCCACTCTGGATTCACAGCTTGGCCGCCATGTATCAAATCTCTTGACAGGTATCGATGACATAGGTCTATACATGACATGTTTATACTATAGTCACATACTTTCTACATCTTTCTACATTTTTCTATATACTAATTTGTAAAAGATCCTAAGGGATCTAAAGGATTTATGCACCACAAAAAGACACCCCCCCAGTCAGTGTTAAAACCTGAAAAACCATTTTTGGGGATGACGCGCCCCACCTGTTTATCCAACAGGTGGAGTTTGTTTGGTGAACCGGTTGAGGTGTTCTTCGTCAACCTCTTTGATTCCAACATCTGGGTTTTGAACGTCCAGGATCTCGATTTATAACTGCACAGACAGACAGACAGAGACAGACAGACAGAACCAATCGGGGTGGACCTGAGGATTTCACCCGGTCGAGGTTCGCAGGGGAGGCCTTGCACTTCGTGCGACCGCTGGTGGCGAGGCGAATCTGTCGATCAGACCGGGGAAAAGCGGACCCAAGCGTTTGAGAGTTTGGGGAGGGTGCACCCCCCAAGCGTTTGAGAGAGTTTTGAGAGAGTTTGGGGAGAGTTAGGAGGGTGCACCCCCCGGTCGTGCTTTCCCGAACCTGTGCCTTTTGTTTTCCTTAGATTCTTTTTCCAAAAGGCACAGGTTCGGGAAAGCCACGACCGGACTTCTTCCCCGTTTACGTGGACGTTCGAAAGGGCAACCCTTTTTCAAAGGCGCAGCTGTTCCTTGGAAGCAGAAACGCACAAAGCATTTGATCAGGTGCCAAATCACTAGGGGGCGGCATTGTTTTGGTGGGCAACATGAACTCACCACAGCATATGGAGATTCAGACGACCAGGACCAGCACCCATCATTCTCCCAATTCTAACACATGATGGTTTGACCAGGCCATGAAGAGACAACCCTGAAAAACCTTTTCCAATCTTCGGGTTAGACATGGCGGAGCAGTCATACATGGCGGAGCACAGGAAGAGGAATACGGGCTCTATGGTATACTGTGATACTGAACCGTTTGAAATACATAGTGCTTGTCACGCCAAACATGGTGCACAGTAAGGGGAACTTGGGGCCCTGCCGGTTGGACGCCGCACGGACGGACTGGGTCGTGCTTAGCACCCATACAGCAACATCCCAAGAAAGGAACATCCATGTTTTATACAAAGTGGCTTTTGGCTCTTTGTTTCACAGAAAATGACGTTGTTGAGCTTATTTTCCTCTGCTTTGCCTGGAACACCGAAACTTTGATCTTTAGGTCTCTTGGCTGAGCATGGTCCTTTGTGGTGTTTCTAGCCTGCAAATGTGTTGAGCTTGAAGGTCTTGAAGCAGCTTGCCCTTTATTTGGTTTTCACTGTATTTCTGGGTTTCCTGGGTTCCCGCAGAGTTTTCATCCTTGGTGACTGCTTTTGCAAGTCTATATGTGCGACATGCTTGCATGTCTACATCATTGGACCTTTGTCGGCGCAATGTTTGGGCAACAACCGAATGCAACACGACTTTTGAGCTCAAGGGGTGCAACAGTCTATGTCCGTTCTTCAAGCACTGCAGCTTTCCAAAACATGTGCTCGAGTTAAAGGCTCAAGTTATAACAAATTACAACAATGATCAACAATGTGTACTTTAAAAAATACCTTAGAACACTTTCTTCACATACTACTCAATGACAAGGGGGCGAGTGGGGAATCTGCCATTTGTAAATTTTGAGACCCAGCGTTCCGTCCTGTGTAAATGACCCAGGGGTCCGTCCTGGATGTTCAAAGCCTTCTTTTCATCCCCACGACCTTTCGACCTGAAACGCCTTGAGAGGTGGATGCGACCGACACCGGGTGCTGCCACCTGGGCTCTGAGCGACTCGGCACGGAGCTTCGTCGGAGTCCGGCAGCGTTTCGGGAGCGAGCTTCGACCGACGGAGGAAGAGTGAGCGTCTCGACCGTTTGGGCAACCAGGAGACACAAGTGGTCCACCTTTACGGATTTAGACGGCTACTTACTTGTTTGAGAGTGAATTGGAAGGGTGGGGCAAAGAATGCTGTGAGTTGCTATGAGCAATGATGGAAATCGGCATTTTTTGAGAGGTTTGGCTTGGTGGTGTCGTACCTACCTGCTACAGGTGAAACGGGATTTGCCAGAGTTCAATCCTGAAAAGCTCCGGGGCACTAAGGATTTCATACGCCGGGGGGGGGCAGGACGTCCCGCCAAATTGTTTGCGAAGCCTCCAGCTGGGGCAGCCCACCGGACCCTGACTCCATGGCTGGGCCAAGGTGAGCCGTCCGTGCTGGCCGAATTTCTGCGGTGTCTTGGAGCTGCTTGGACCAACAGAACTAGAGATTTGCAGATACATGTGAAGATGTCTTCGAAGTGCAAAGACTAGTTTTCTATTACAAAGCAGGTTCCAAGACTAAACAAGATCAGCCAAAAGCAAGAATACTATTGTTTTTTTGCAGGTTCTACTCACCAGGTTCTACGTTCCACCTCAAACG